ATGTGCTTACTGCTCTTTGTTTGACCAAGCTAGAGAAGCAAGTGGACCAGTTTTAAGGTGCAGCTCTCAGAGCTTATCATATCTTACAATATGTGACTGTAGGGACATCTTATCCTGGTAGTGAAAGAAAGCCCAGAGTTTGGGCTCTGCTGACTCTATTCTGAGGTCAGAACCCCCCCATCATCCAGTAACCAGCTCAGAACACTGGTTCCCTTTGTCTCCCCACAGGAAGTGTGGCTGTCTGCTGTATGTTTCCCTTCATAGCAGTCTGGTGAGAATGTGAGTCAGGTGTACCTGCAAATGTTTCCCAATGAAAGGAGATTTAAAACAGGACACTTTCTGTCCACATAGAAATCTCTGCTTCTCAAGATAACAGGTTTGTTATATTTAATTTAATATGAGTCTGGTAAGCTGGAAGATTCTTTATAAAACACAGAAAAGTTTCTATTCAGTGGAATGGAAAGTTTCCAGGTTAGTATGATAAAAGCTTGTCAAGATCAGAGTTTTTTCCACTTGCTAGCTTGCGTGACTTCTGTTATGACTTCTTCATAATCTGTTCCTGAGTTTGACATACTTTGCATTCAGTCATACTCTGCCTGCTCACTCTTGTAGGCTGAGAGGAAACTCAGCCTACAAGAGCTTCCTCAACTCTGATAGGCTGACAGAACTCCACCCTTTAGGTTTGAGTGACACCTGTGTGAACCAATAGTTATGCAGCATCTCAGAACATCCAGCAGGTTCAAAGACGACAGATACACTAAATTCATTAACTCATTGACTGGCAGCAATTTTCAGAACAGAGAGTCCCATACTGCCAGAGTTTTTTGAGCGTTTTGACTGATTTTATCTATAGACATCTTTGGCAGCCAATGAGTTAATGGTAAAGTGGATATTTCTAGTATGTGAAATGATCCAAAACAGAACAAAAACAGACTAAACTTGAAGTTCCCATGAAGCTCTGTGGAAAGTCTTTTTTAAGCCTTTTGAAATTAAAGTCTGAACACAAATCCTGTTCATCAGTTTAGCCAATGGAACAGCCCTCATGACTGTTTTCTGGGAGTCTTTGTCTCTGGTTGGCAGCAGCTTTTTGTTTTCAGCTTTAAGAACTGAGAGTAAATGAGTCATTCCCTTAGTCTGCAGACTGCTGGCGTGTTGTTGTGCTGTAACATGATCCACACAGACACGCCTGTACAGGTACGACTGATTTCCACATTCTAACGATCATGAACTGGACGGAGGCAACGTTTTCCTCTCAGGCGAAGCAGAATATGAAGGTAAATTATTACTTTTTATTCCTTTTAATATGTTTAACTGGCTAAAATCAGCTGTTGTAAACAGAAATCTGCATTAAATGATCCGTTCCAGAGTTTGATAAACAAACTTCAGCTCAGCTGAACTGAAGCAGAAGTGAATCCTCCATTTTATGAGACATCTGATCTTCGGCTTCCAGAAGCAGAATAACTGTAACAATAGTAACTTAAAACACAAATAAAACACGATGTAGATTAAGTCATATATGTTCATTGAATTCTACATTTACTTTAGCTTTTAAACTAATTCATTGGTGTAACAAAATGCAGATTTGTGGTCGTAAAAAATAATCTCAGACTGAAAGCTGAAAAAAGCTTGGGCGTATTTCTCTGTAAAATGACTTCCGTCGTCTCTCTTCCCGCATTTTTCCTCTAAACCCCGCCCTCCCTCTACTCTGATAGGCTGACAGACGTCAGCCAACTCCATAATTTACATTTGTGTGACGCCTGTTTGAACCAATAGCTATGCAGCATCTCAGACAATCTAGAACAGGGGTGTCAAACTCATTTTCACCTAGGCCACATCAGCTTAATGGTTGCCAAGGGGCCAGATGTGACGTCTATGTATCCGTAGATATGTCTATGGCTCTCTCTACAGGCGTTTCTGGGTATTACACTTTCCCTTTGAAGAAGAATTTACTGGAATAGATACACACATTTCTATTCAGCTCTGGGTATATTTTTACAAACACTCTGAAAGAGAAAAGGCTGAGTATTGTGGATTTAAATTACAACTTCTTTAAACTCTGTTAACGTTCTAAATCTGTATGTATGTATGTATGTATGTATGTATGTATGTATGTATGTATGTATGTATGTATGTATGTATGTATGTATGTATGTATGTATGTATGTATGTATGTATGTATGTATGTATGTATGTATGTATGTATGTATGTATGTATGTGAACAGATAAGGAGGATGCACTAACCTAAACTCCATGTCTCCAGGTGAGGTGGAGTTGAGCAGAGGCGTCTGAAAGGCTGTGAATCCCTCAGTGTTTCCACTCAGGTGGGATGGCGTCCTCCGGCTGTCCCAGCTCCCCCCTCTGTGAGGGAAGGCAGGATTCTGCTGTGAGTCTCCTTCATGTTTCAGCTTTCTGTGTGTGTGTGTTGCTGCTTCAGCTGGAAACAGCTGGAAACAGCTGGTCAGAACGACAGAATCCTCACTGGTCAAGCAGGGAAACAGCTGAGTGAAGAAAAGAGGGAACAGGGAGCACAGCCAGAATCTGGAATAGGGGAAAGGGAAATAGTCCAGTTAGGAACACGCATTAATGGAATGAGTTTGCACTGGGAGGGAGAGAGAGAAAGGAGAGGGGAGCTCAGTGCATCATGGGAAATCCCCCGGCAGTCTAGGCCTATAGCAGCATAACCAGGGGTGGACCTACCCTAACTATAAGCTCTATCATAAAGTACAGTCTTAGGCCTACTCTTGAATGTTAACACATCTGTTGAATTGTATATTTTTATTTTTATTTTTGCAGCAATAATAAATAAATACTCTGAGACTTAACTGTTCTATCCCAGTTTAGTCCAGATCTGTAAATGCATTTCTGTTTTTTGAACTGTCAAAGAAGTATTTATGTATTTAGGTGTAAATGTGGTGAATGCTGGTTAGAACCATTTAAATCTCCTCCCTCTGGTTTCACTGCAGCAGCTCTGAATTTTTGTCAGCGTCTCAGTAACACGCTGGCACCATCTTTCCACAGCTGGGTCCAATAGGAGATATATGGAAAATATGTAAATCTGCCTTCTGGGTCTGCACTGGTACTATTCATTGTAGAACAGACTTTCCTACTGATCAAAATGGCCACACCTTGTTGTGGAAATTTTATTGTGAAGCAAAAGTCTGAGTCCATCTGAGGGAGTAGGATATAGAAAGTTATTAAAAGGGAAAAAGGGAAGGGGAAAACTTCCTGAAGTGAGAGCAGCCAGCACGACCATACAAGTAGATCCGTACCAAACTGCCCCAAAGTAAAACAAATCATGCTGCATTTTATACCCCTCTGAGTCTGAAAATAAGACGTAAAGTCTGTCCTTCATACTGCACCTGTATTAAACAATCCTCCAGACAAAACATTAAGAGATAAAGTATAAGGAGAACCTCTCTGAGACCTAAAAGGAGGAATGAGTCCCATGAGAAAGAAAAATAACCTTTAAAATATTCTCTTGTGGAAAGTTACCAGAGAGAAATTAAGAAAGTGATTATACATATATTGATTTCCCTAACAACCTTCTGTCTGAAGCTGGAACCAGCTGGAAGCACATGGGGGAATTGGGCTGTGGACAGAACATCTGCTGCTGTCTTTGGTAAAATGAGTCTCCTGCTGTAAAACAGGAGGGAGGGAACTGAAAACCTCCCAGCAACACACTCCAGCTTCTCCTGGAGGATTCCAAGATGTTCTCAGGCCATAAACGATGTGTAATGCCTCAAGCATTTGCTGGGTTTGCCTGAATATCTACTCAGCTCAACTCAGAGCTGTGTTGCTTTGGTCTGGTTGGACCTTTTAATAATTAGAGCCAGAAAGTGAACAATTTAGCCTCTCTAGTATAAAAAGAGAAGCTTACCACCTTATGTTTAATTTAAGAAAAAGAAATAGTTTATGTTTTTTGGTGTCAAAGCCAATGTTTATCTCATTCTTATTTGAGTTGTGGAACAGAATAAAACAAGATATTTCTTAGAACTTGTTACTTTTAATGTGCTCTGATACAACTGTAGCTAAACTGAGAGTGTGTTTGTTGTTCAGTGGGCACAAATACTCTTGTCCTGTGAACACTTCCACTCATGCAGGACCCATATGATGAGTGGTAAGTGATGCAATATGAGTCCTGAATGAACCGGATTCTCAATGTTTTTAGAGCAAAGATGATGACAAGGAAACAGAGGGACACCCTTCAGAAGCTCCAACAGAAGGCCCCCCAACCCATTCAGCAACTTCAGGACATCCACCCCCTTCAGCAGGTAAAGCTTCAGTGGCCAGCACATCAGGTGAACCATTCAACATGATGAATGAAGACTGTTTACCAGATATGTTCTGATACAGGAACTGTAGCAGGAGTCGTGAAGCGCCGCTGACCAATCACAGCAGATTGTTTCTGTTTTGTTTTAGCATCTCTGCGTGTAAAGATGTCCTATTCAGTTAAAGACATACACATGGGTCATCCATTCAATAACAACTTCAAAATATACGTATTTGCATTCATTAAAACTAGAG